TCAAGAACTTCATATATTTTTTCTTCTTCTGGATTATTTAAAAACTCTTCAATTGGCATTCTATCAGATAAGTTAAGCATGTAAATGAAAAATAATTAATTAATGTAACACGATAATTTTGTTTCTTGTTGCACATTGATCACGTGAAAGTCACGGGTGTGCATTTAGAGAGGGTGGTTTTATATGAATGGGATTGGAAAAAGACCGTGCAGTGCATTTATAGAGGGATGCATTTATCTCTTAATTCCCGAGATTGGGAATGAGACATAGGGTGCACTTATGGAGGGTTGACTGTACAACTAAAAGTCACGTGGATATTCACAAAATCCACAAAATTCAGTAAATTATCCAATAAAAAATTCAATTTCAGCATTTAAACAATTGAGACCATGATTGTCCAAATGTCTAAATTTAGTTTAGGCACCCATCTATAGTAATAGCAGATGATGACCATGAAGTAAGATTATTATTTTTGTAAATTCATTAATTTAAAAAATGATCATCGTCTCTAAATAAGGAAAGACTATTAAATTATAATCGTTGACTACATGCTAGTTTTATACATGGGACATATCCTCATTCACTTGAATGTCCTGGATGTCTAGGATTAGCAGTACAAGCCACAAATTAATGTGAGAAAATGACTTTACCAGTGTTCATCAGGAAAACATTATGAGATTATACGTATATGATTTGCAAATGTGTGGGTTTCTCATATAATATGCATATACATGATTTACATCTGTATGAGAATTATATGACATGTTTGAAAATCATATATACATATAAACCCAATCATGTTTTCCTGATGTTGTCGTCAAAGAGGCGAAAGTTAAAACTAAAATTAAAAGTTATATGCCAAAAATAAATCAAATGTCAAAAGTCAAAACTAGCTTTGATTTATGGGGATACCTTTTGACTTTCGAAACCATATAGCTTTAGAAACCAACACTACAGTCATAACTCGTTAATGTTTTCACGAAAAAACCTTCGATTTGGAAAATCTTAATGAAAAGTTATTGTTAAAATACATGGAATTCGAGTTATTTATATACATTAGAGAACCACTTTTCCAATTAAATAACGCATACGTCGAAACGTAACTCAACAACATATTGACACTTCCCAGGTAACAATTTTGAAAAATTATTATACAAGAACAACTTCAACTAAGGTTGTGGGCGAAACTCCTCCAGAAATCAATCAACAGAGTTTCAACAGGTTACACATTAATTGTTTATTAGAGTTTCGGCGGAGTTTCGCATTTGATGGTTTTGTCAATCGTCAGAGTTTTGACAAGGTATACGCTAATTGTTCATTAGAGTTTCGACAGGATTTTGACAGTCACTAAGAGGTTTCGGCAAGAAACTTTAACTTCATCATAAAAAAAAAATTCCTCGTCATAATCAAACTTTAGTTATTGATTCATCGTGACCAGTGATGTTAAATTTATATTCCAACGACAAATAACTGTAATACAGAACACTGGAATACTAGAACACTAATGAAACACTCAATGAAACAAGGAGTATTATGTGCCGCATTGGGATACTGGAATAACCATAATGATTATTCCAGTGTTACTAACTTTTTATTTAACCCATTTTTTTAAAGAAAACTTGGCTTTCCGCCAAGTTATGCTGTTTATACTGATAAAAATATAAGGATAAACCGGAATAACTGTCTTGCAATATGTAAAGGATGTGCAACAAGAGAATTTAGTAATGCTAAAACAAAAGTTCCGGATTTCAAATATAGTGCAAATAAATCAAAAATATCTATTCATACTATGGCCGCCTTCCGAAATCCGTCCAGAAATTAATTGGCAGAGTTTTGGCAGTCATTAAGAGGTTTGGTTAATAACCTTGGCTCACATATACAAAATTAAATATCATACGACTATTTGCAATTAGAATAATGGAAATTTTATTTCTTTATATGTACAAGTACTACATATGTTTCTATATTTATATTTTGACTAATTATTTTAGGTGATATTTGAATTCTGATGTAACATTGTGTTTCCGATGAAAGAAAAACAAATGGAACAATTCAAATTCCGAATTCCATTGCACAACAACAACATTGATCTTGGCTCACAATAAAGAATTTTCGGATTTTTTTTTTTTTCTATTTTTATCACTTTACGAAAACCTGTACCTAAACCTGTTCAGGCACAATGTGGTTTTACTTTTATTAATTAATATTATTGTGTTATTGGTTATAACGCGTAGCTAACTTCGATCAAGTTAGCACAATTCGTATTTATGTACCAACATTGAGCTGCACATATGTGTTTCAAATTCGGGTACTAAAGACAACTCGAACGAATGTGTTTTTCATTTTATGTAGTTTTTAATTTGTAAAAAATTTTGTACACGGAAATTTTCTTTTAATTAACATTAAGTTCATAATATGTATTATCATTAACAAATACTTTAATCAATAAACCCTTTCTCCATACAAAATTTATGGTTTCATACAATGAATTTGTACCAAGCCAATCATTGAGACTACATAATCTCCAATAATAAATTGAATTATAAAAATAATAAACACTAACGCTAACACCATACTATATATACCCTATATATACAAAACTAAATAGCTTGCATAGAACAAAATATATACTTTCATCAGCTAGGTTGAACTTTGAAAGTATACAAAATTTACAAAAATGTTAAAGATAAAATCAATCTCACGTTTCACAGGTTTCGCAAACAAATTATTCGAATTTGTCACAAGAAACAAAGTTTCGCCAAGTTCAACTAATGGTTTAAGTTTAATCAATGATGGATAGTCTTGATAAAAAATTGATTAAAACATTTAAATATCTATTAGATAAACACATTAAAGATAATTAAATATTGTTAAATTAAGTAATCCAGGTACCAATTATTATTAGCTGGTTAGATTTGGATTGTTTCTTTGTTTATCTGTCTGCTGCTTCACCGGATCGAATCTATTGTTATCACATGTGAAATTTTTTAAGATAATATTGTTATCCTCAGATTAATATATTATTATTTAAGTCACGAGAGAAAAAGAAAATTTTTTTATCTATAAATACTCGTATAAAATTCTTTTCTTTTTTTTAAAAATAACCAAAAAAAAAAAAAACGCGTCTAAAGAATGTCTTATAAAATAATTTTCTTTGTTAATTTCGTCTTTAATCTTTTTTATGGAATAAATGCTATTCCAGTTATTTCTCATGATAACAATGATTTATTAAGGAAACGACAATTAACAGAAGAGGATATATCATCAAATAAAGAATACTTTGAAGAGGTTGGATATTTTAAAATGAGATTGATGTATATTGTTACTTTGATGTTATTACAAGCAAGTGTATTTTGTTCTTTATACGTGATTCGTCGTACATTTTCTAAAAATGGTGGAGCTGGAAACAACAATGATAAAGGACTTAGTGTTATCGATAAAATACCACTTTATATGGCTTATTTAGGTATTTATTAATTAATTTATTAATTAATTAGTTGTGATTTGGTTGGTAATAATCATTATCGTTATTTATTATTTTATAGATGTTATTCTTTGCGCTTTACTCACATTTAACTTGGTAAGTTTAATAAGCACTCAAAAAATTTTGATTTTTATTTTTCAAAATTCATTTTTTTAAAATTCCCATTAAAAATATTATTTATTAGGGTTATCCAATAGCTTTCGTGGATAATTGGCCAAATCCAATATGCACAATTTTATCCGGAATTGTTTTTTATACTGTCATTGCATATACTGTATTAATTGGATCTCTTTCGATAATTGTTTGGCTTAAAGGTAACATATATTATATTATAGATGCTGTATATATGTAAGCAAATAACTATATTTAGCGAAATAAACAATTTCATTTTATTTTACTTTATTTTAGCATGTTATAAAGTTGAATTTTATCTTGGCGTGTATGATTATAAGTTATTTGCTGTCACTATAATCATTCCGACAATTCTTACAGTTCTTTGTCGTAAAGCATTTGGAGGCGATGAATTTTGGTAACTATACTTATTTGATTTAATCAACTATTAATTGCACATTAACATTAACATATTAATTAACATTAACATTGATTTATTAGGTGTTACTCGCCTGACCAATTTGACCTAGTTCCAAAAGTTCTTTTAGCAGTGTGTTTTACTGGACTAGCAATTTGCGGTTTTTGTTATTGTAATATTTTTATGAAGGCTAACAAAGTCAACAAAACAATATCAACCACTAAAAGTTTTGATGAAATGAATTCAACTGGTGAACTCTCTATAAAAAATTTCAAAAAAATTCTTGGTTATTTATTAATTTATAATGTTAAATGGGTAAATATATTATATGCACACATATATCAATTAATATTGGTTTTTTGTTTTTTTTTTTTAATTGATTTTTTTTTTTAATTGATTTTAGATTCCTTTGATGGTTTACATAATTACAGATATGATTAACGTAAGTTAAATGTATTAATTTATAAAATTATATATTTAATTGTTTTTATCTAAATAATTTATTAATACCAATTATATTTTTCTTTTTTAGTATGAAAAAGTTTATATATTTTTTACAACAATGATTTTATTTGCGTTATTTAGCGGCATGTTGAATGTGACTCAATATATTATCAATGAACGTTCTTCTAAATCCGTTGAGACTACTAATAGCACTGATACTGATGGGAAAATGTAAATATTGTGGCGATGCAATGGAATTGGATATAACGGGAAATATAAGCGAGGGAAAGAGAAATATATTTTTTATATAATTTTAATCGTTTCACATTCTGTTTTGTTTTACAAATAAAGTAAATAAATAAATATTTTTATTAAGTAACAAAGTACTACTGTACTACCAATGAATTTCGCTTGAAATTTTGTTTTTTTTCATCTGATTAATTTTGCCGTTCAGGTTATTTTTTTTATCTTCAATCAAGTATTTTAGTTTGCTGTTTTAACTGAGAAATATCATTCTCTGCCCTATTAAAATGTCGGACAAAAAATTTAATTTATATTATAACTTATCATATCGAGATCCTGTTATGATAATAAAAGTTATTAAAACACGCTATTCAGAACAAATTTTCATAGGTTGGTTGGTTTGTGATTTATTAGTACTATATATTAAAAAAGATAGGCATAAGGGTCTTAGGTGAAAGATAATAAAACAATTCTATTGAGTGAAGAATATTTCATCATTGGTTAAAACTTTTATTGGTCGCAAGTTTCTTTGAATCTTAAAAATACAAGTTTCACAATTTGACATGTACAGAATGAGCCTATCCTTAAAAATGAACCTAAAAAGTTTTTGATATTAGTGTCAAATTTTATATATTTTGATATACATATAAACAGTAATAGTAATAACCAATGCCTGGAACTCCCGAGAGAGACTAACCGGAACCGAAATTTCTACTAGATGATCTGCAAAATAAATTTTTAAGTCGATAATTTAAAAGTAAGGATTAATAATATTAATGGTGGGGAATTATAGTTTTGGTAAGAATGCTTTTTTTAGGTTTTGGAATTAATTTAGGTTTCGGATGCGAGTTTAAATTTTCAATGGGTTTAGGATTTTATTTTCGCTACACTAGTTTCAGCTTCGGATTTTCCTTAAACTTCGACAGCATTGATATGAACCATACATAATATTACGCTCACAAGTTTAATGTATAATGTGTAATATTTGAAAAATTACATGAATGTAATAATTGTATAATTTTTCATAATACTATAGGTCCGACATAATAATTACATTAATAAATTCGCGTCAGAAAAAATTTCCCTAGTTAACATTATTATAATTATAGCATTGTTATTACAATTAATTTCTGATAAATTTTATTAGGACTTGAATAATAATCGATCTCTATACTCTGAACATATGCTCTTGTACCATATTTTTAAACGGTTATTTTACGTGAAAATACATTTTTACATGGAGCATCTACAAATAAAACTTCAATAACACTGGTGATGGCGGTGATAATTATGTTGAGATGTCAATGAAGTGATGATAGATAATAAAGGTAGTGATATGATGACAACTGAATAGAAAGTTTATAGTGGAATTTTTGAGAATTAGAACGGATAATGATCATGTGGTAACATTATGTGTAGAGTGAGCGGGTCCGGCACGATTCCCCGACAACTTAATAATGACATGATATAGTCATGGCAGGAAAGTAAAGAGATATTATGATAAATTGATAGAATTCTGTCTGGAAAATGGCCGCAACCAGTGTGAGCGCGTATCTGAGATCTCAATACCAAACCCCAAACAAAGCTAGACTTTCCTCGTTATCCTTCGGCTAACCTCTATACTCAAAACAAAATAAAAATAAAATAAAAGAAAAATATATACACAAGAAATATTTACAACTATACTACTTGATACATCCCTCAAGCAACATAGTAAATGTTAATTATCAGAAAAGGATACGAAACAATTCACAGTGACTTGCCTCTTTAACTATCTAATAAGAGATAATTTTAAGTTAATTATTGCAAATTTATATGTTTGAAAGTCATCTACCTGAAAGTCTTTTTTTTTTTTAAAAAGCCATATTTTTAACCCTAGTGAATTCAAGATGCTTAAATACTTTTTGACATTATAAAGGTAGCATATTTAATGACTGACTTCTCTAAAAACAAAAATATATTAAGTTGTAGAATAGTTCTAGTAGAAGAAAGAGTCCCGTTACTATTTCACCGTAGATAATAAAGGCATCATTGAACGATTAACCTTATATGGAGTTTGTTTAGTAGTAGTAGAAGAAGCAGGAAATGGGCAAGACATAATGGTGACGATGAAACGTTATTGTAAAAGAAACAGTAGTTATCTTATCATCAATTTGGGGCAGATATATCTTGTTTATGTAAAATTTTGTAAAGTGTGTGACTTATAATTTACAAATACTGTATTAGACAAATTTAAACCATGATTTTCTAAAATTACCAATTTAATTTTTTCCATAAGAAGTGTCATTCATTCAATTATTGTTGTTCCATCTGTGTTATAAGCTTTTTTTTTTCAAAAGTTTTCATCATTTGTAATCATACACCACTACAATTTGAATATCAAAGAAGAAGATAACGATGGCGATGACAATCCAAGGATCCCAAGAAAATTCTTTACAGCTATGATAAAATTGTTATCAATTACCTTCGATTGAGGTGTTCCTTTGATATTAATTACCATGGACTCTTGATATAAAAACCATTGTTTATTAAATGATTTCTTATATTTTCAAAATAAATTCAGCTGATGTTAACTCCCAACATATTGAGATAAGTTTACTGGGAAAGAGGCACATTAAGAAAATACTTTTTTTATTGGAACAGTTTCTCTTTTTCAAATCATCCACTCTTACTTATTGCCATACTATCCATTGTGCCATCAAAAATATGTCTTGTTCTGTTTTGGAGAGAAAGCTTGAAAGATTCATATAATTCAACAAGCTTACTTTGGAACCATTGATGAACAACACAACTATAACCTACTTTCAAAAAAACTTACTATCTTCTCATGTTCACTTTGTAGTTTTTTTATATATAGCATTGTGTAAACAAAACGCAGATAGATTATATTTTCCATCTATTGCAAGGCAAAAATTATATAGCAAGCATTGTGGAATGTACCAATTACCTTAATTTGGTTATTTACACAGTACTAGGGGCGATAAGATCAATTAAGATGCAAAGCAATTATAAAAAAAAAATTTTTTTTATCCAATGAATTATATTCAAAGATTACATTTATTCTAACATATAGTTCTCTTCTCTATAACAAGAATTACCCCAAGACCAGAACGTTTACTAACCATTGACACATAAAAAACAATTATTTGTTTGAGCGAAAGAATAAGAACAGGTAACAAAATTTTAACCAATGCAATTGTTGATTGATCAATCAAAATCGTGAATTTGATAACGTAAAAATAAATGTTGGTTTGATTCATTTTGTCAACAATCACTTCACCGACAGTTGTTTCGTTAACAAATGGTTTGAATTTAAGAAAGTGAATGCCTCCCATGCGGACAAACCTTTGAAATAGTCTAACAAATTAAATTGTACTACTCGAAAATGTATTTAAAGGGTTGGTTTTCGACTTGGTTGAAGAATAACTCTCTTCCTAAC